TGCCACCCCCCACGTTTGGCATTTATTATCGGCACGCGACCCGAATAACGCCCGCCGTACCCTGATCTGCCTCCCATGTTGGCCCAGCACAGCTATCACGCAGCCCGTATCACTACATTTTCAAAAGCAAATTACCTGCCTACTCTTCTCCTCATCCGTCACGCTAATCATTTCAGAGTCTTGTTGGAGAAAAAAGTAAAAAAATGTACAAACGGTACAAAATATATTGGATATTATAGAAATAAAAAGAAAGAATAAAATAAAAAAAGGGAGTACTAGTAATAATGGACTAGGGAAGTCTAGAGTGCTGTCAGTGCTGAAGTGAATGTCTCTCGCACTCCTTCATTTCTGTTTCAGGATACTCCGGTGCGGGCAAAGAACACATCGGATTCTTGGGGGGAGGGGAGAGGGAAAGAAGGAAGACAGGTCTTAGGTCGCTAGCCTGGCTGGCTGATATTAGAAGAGAGAGCAGATTTCACATAAAAAATAAGGATATTACAGATTAGGATTTGAGAAGTTTGAGAGCCTGCTGGATACTCCAAATGGCCAGTGGCCGCATGTATCCCAGCGACCTGAAAGTCATGTCCCTGGTGAAAGCTTCTGGGGTCTGGAAATGCAATCCCATTGTGTTATAGACGTGGTCGAAACATGCCCCAGCCAGTTCAAAACCTTCATCGCGCATACCCTGAAAACAAAACACAGTAATAGTAATGAAGAGAAAGGCGGGCGGGCGGCGTGCAAAAAATCATGTAGTCACAGCCTGCCAAACACAGGGAGCTTGGAGTAGCACAAGACCTACCTCGAGCATTAGGAGGGCGCCAAGGCCGTAGTTGATAGCCGTCCAGAACTCCATAGCCTGCATGTTTGAGGTGTCATATTTGCCATTCGGCAGGACACCATTTATGGCGCCCATTGTACCACCGTAAACGTTTTTCCAATTCAGATTCATGATGGTGCGTAGGGAAAGAAGGACAGCATCCTTTGGATGGATCTAGGGGGACAGATTTTG